AAACATTTACCTGCTGCGATGGGTTAGATATTTCATAACCCCATCATTCATGCAAGTTTCAGATTGTGCATTAGCTTTTATGTGCTATTTGTTCAACATAATTGTTATAGTCCAGGTGAGAAAGTTGCAGACTACAACACCTATAAAGCCAAATTAGAGTCAGTCACCCAAAGTAGGTTAACACCATAGAAAGACTATTAGTGCTGAAGCTCAGAGACCAGCACTTATAAAGGCAAAAGCCACAATGCCATCATTGACAGGTATGGGTCAGGAGAACCTGGTAACATTGGTTTGGGATATACACTTAAGTATGTATTTTGGTTGTGCATTTGGGCTGTGCATGTGTTGCCAATGTCAGTGAGACTGTTCAGGGAGCCAAGGACTGAAAAGTACATAAGCAGGCACAAAATGGATCAGGCTAAAATCAAGACAAGGATCTCTGTGAGTTCGAGGCTATCCTGGTCTACAAAGCGAGTTCCAGGAAAGCCTCCAAAACAATACAGAGAAACCCTGCCTCGAAAAACCAAAAAAAGAAAGGAAGAAAGAAAGAAAGAAAGAAAGAAAAAAGAAAGAAAAAAAGAAAGAAAATAAAATCAAGACAAGATGGCATTATCTTGGGCACTTAAATAATCATACAAAAGAAATTGAAAACAGATCAATATGCTGTTAAGGTATTTTTTCTATTTTAGTCTTTTTATTGTTTTTATTTTTGGCTTATAATATAATTACATCATTTCTCTTTGCTTTCTCCAAATGCTCTCATCTACCAAACACCCTTATTCTTTTTCAAATTCATGGCATCATTTTCTTTAATGGCTATTACTGAGATAGATAGATAGATAGATAGATAGATAGATAGATAGATAGATAGACAGACAGATAGATAGATTGATTGATTCCTAAATACGTAAATACATCCTGCTCAGTTTGTATAATGTTACAGTATACACATTTTAGTATTGGATAGCCATCAGGGTGCTCTCCTCTGAGGAAGACTATGCCTCCCAGTCTCAGCATTTCTTGGCTGCTTGTAGTACTTTGTCTAGGGATAAGGCCTTGTGATCTTTGGCCCTTCTGTGTTAGCACACCTATTGGTGTTGTCTTTGTTCAGGTTCTGTTTAGGCAGCCATGTTGGTTAGAGTCTATGAATAACACTCACGACATTCCTAAGAGACACAATCTCACAGCAAACTCCCTGTTTCTCTGGCCTTTTCAAAGTTAAGCTAGTCCATAAATAATTCAACTTTTTAAGTGTAATTTGAACAGTTTCTTTTATCTCCACTATCTTTATCCGTGGCATCACAAAGACACTTGTGCATGGCTTAAAGAATAATCAGATTTACCTAGTACAGCAACAACCATAAACTTAACTGTGTGGCCTACTAGAGCCATCTGATTCTTATTCCTCCTCAGAATCGTCTAAACACTTAATGAGAATACTTTAGCTAGAAACTGACAGCACACAACTTCTTAGACCGTTGTCTTTGGCATGTGTTTCAAACAATAAATAGTATAAAACATGCCCTCCACCTCTAGTTTAAGTTTGCTTCCTCATGTGTGAAATGATAAAAGTCCATCTTAGTTATATGCAAAGCCTTTTCTTCTCTCATAGATCAACCAATGTTGGAATCTCCACCATGCCCCATGTCTACCTTTGGGAGCACAATCATTCAAAGAACTGCATTGATTCCTTTAGCGCTTTAGAGTTAGCTTTCCCAATGCCATTATTATAAGCCAACTCCACCTACTCTACCCTGCAGCATACTGATTATGTATAATGAGGAGCAAACTCCAGGTTTCTCAGGTTGCCACCATTGCATAATCTCAGGTCACACCTTGAGTCCCTTCTGACCCTTCTCTGTGTCTTGTGGTCTAAATTGTCCCGACTTAAGTGGTAATCTCTGTTTTCAAAGCTAATTCTGTCTTTTGTTTGGACTTGAAATTTTATCTTGTTTTCTTTGGGTTATCTGTCCTTTAGTTAATTCCAAAATATTTGACTCATGCTTACCACGTAGCTTTGTTTTTCTGTCATCCATCTTAAAGCCTTGAAAACAATGAGATATCTCAAAGCAGCAGAAACAATCTTAGTAAGCCTGGATCTGAATTTCACTGAAGACCTTTCTTGTTTCTTCTTTGGTCTTGATGAACTCTAGCACACTCCATTCTCTAACTCTGTGGAGGAAAACATCCTACTGAAAGGAGCCACATATCAATGATGTCTAAACTGCTTAATGCATCCCAGGAAACTAATTGTTTAAGAAATATCCTTGTTATCAAGAGTCCATGTGTATAAAAGGGAATCCAGACACTAAGTCTCCTCCTCAAACAAAAATTTCTCAAAGTACAAACTTTAAATATGGCTGTCAATTATTGCTTATCCTGGTATTGTCTGTATTAGATAATCTAGAAATGCAGGCAATTTAGAAAATGAAAGTGCTTCAGTCTGTTTTTATTGCTCTTCTATAAAATGCTTGATTTGGTTTGAAAGTTGTCTCCAGTTTAGAATTTGTCATTTGGAGAGTATACAAAGTAACACCTGAGTCCCTGACCTTCTAACATTGTGCTCTCTGTTTCATTACATCATCTCACTGTTAATGAGAAAACAGAGTCTGCTTCATATTGGAGGGAGAGGGTTTCCCAATGCTAAAATGAAGTCCACTGCCATGCTGTAACACACACACACACACACACACACACACACACACATGCACGCACGCATGCACACACGCGCAAGCCAAATAAAACAGAGTCAGTGCTCCCCAGCACTGATGTAAAAAGCCAGAGGGAAAAAAGCAAATAGATACGGTAGCATACACTCCTGTCTCAGTGCTGGGGAAGAAGTGTCAGATGGATCCCTAGGGTTCAATACTGGCAGCTTAGCTGAATCAGCAAATTTCAGGCAAAACTGAGAGACCCTGCCTAAAAAACCAGGGTAGAACATGAACCAAGGAAAACTCCAACTCCATTTACACACATGTGCACATATGCACATGTGCACCTACACAAACATGTGAACCAGTTTCCACACACAACTGAAAAATACATAGAAGAAACTTGAAGTGAAAGATGTCAGTTGGAAAGTACTATATGAAGAAGGGCAGGACAACCTAATAGATAAAGTACTGCCACACAAGCTTGGTGACAGGGACTCAATCCTGGGAGTCCACAGAAAGGGAAGGAGAGAACTGACTCTGTAAAGCTGTCCTCTGGCCTTTATAGAGGGGCACAATGGCACACAGATGCACACACTTACACACACACACACACACAAATAAAATTTAAAAGAATGTGCTAAATGGTATATGCTTCCAGTTCTATGGTATTTTGTTAAACAGTAAAATTATTGATATACAAAAAGATATCAGTTGTCACAGCAACTAGAAAATAAGGTTATTATATGAAGTACAGGGACATTTTTACACAATGGGGCTATTTTTTATACTATATTGGTAGATGCATGCCATATACATTTGTCAAAACCCATATACTGTACAAGACCAAGACTGAACACTAGAAGAAACTACTATCTTCTGGTGATAGCGATTTAGCAATGTAGGTTAATCAATTGTAGCTAATGTACAGCTCTAATGAGGAATATTAATATTGTGAGAATGTATGTATGTGACTATAACAAAAAGAGGAATATAATGAGTTCTATATCTTTTGCTGAGTTTTTCTGTGAGCCAAATATCACACTAAAGAATCACATCCTTCATGAAAGGAAGATTTCCAACTGCGTAGACCTCATACACTTAATGTTATCTCACTCTTTGCTGGACTTTCTGTCTGTATTACTCTAAGGTATTAACAAGAAAGCCAAAGGAAGACAACATAAGCCAATAGAATAAGCTACTAGAAAAACAAAGGTCTCTGAGTGAATTCTAACTTGGTCTCTGTTTCCCAGACTTTCTCTTTCCTGTAATCTCTTTGTAGGCCCTTTATAGTTTTTGTCTTCTATCTCATGACACAGCCTCAATATATGCATCTGAAAATCAGAGGGTAAAGCTTAGCTTTTTCACAGAAGTCTACTACCTTCCTGTTTTGTTGTCACTGTTGCTTGTTTGCTTGTTTGTTTTGCCAAATCTTAGTGTTATAAAGTAAACATTTGTTATGCTGTAATCCCAGCATTTGGGAGGCAGAGGCAGACAGATTTCTGATTTTGAGGCCAGTCTGGTCTATAGAGGGAGTTCTAGGACAGCCAGGATTACACACAGAAATCCTGTCTCAAAAAAATAAATAAATAAACCTGAAGACTCATAACTTAGACAGGAATGGAGTAGTGACAGAATTATCTTCATTCTTTGGTATCAAAGACCAGCTGAGCTAGGAATACTGCAAGACTGCATTGACTCAACAGCTGGGGCCTGTAATCAGGTAGACGTGTTTTCTATCATGTTTAGAAGTGAATGGCAGCTACAGGCTAGGACCTCAGCTAAACAATGGGCTAAATATGTGGGTTCCATCATTTTCTCTCTTTGAGCTAGCTTGGGCTTCCTCATAGTATGGTGCCTATATGAAAAGAAACCCTGCCAAAGGAAAAAAAGAAAAGATCCTTAATGCCCTAGCTCTAAAATAATATAACATTCTTACTGTAAGACTCAAGAGTGTCCCAACAACTCTACCCATGTTTGAGAAGAAATGATAGGAATCAAAATCATGGGATGAGAAGAGGACCAAGGTTACTTTGTAAGAGCATGTGGAATAGGCAATGTTCTTTCACCATTTTTGAAATTACCATCTGCCATAGTTATTCTTGTATTTTATTAGGTCTTTCACTTGATATCTGGGTATGCAGTGCATTTGACTGATTGGTTAGACCTTGTTTCATATCTAATTTCTTATTGTTTTAGATTATAATCCATATGATGCGATGGCAAGCATAGTGATGCTGAGTTTATTTGATTGTTTTAAAGTTTATGTTAGTAATTTGTGAGGCCTTTGATCATTCATTTCTATATCTTCTGAAGAGTGAACTAACAAATGCAATTGTCCCTTTTCAGTTGACTTCATAGGTGGCTTTGATTCTTATGGATATCAAGGGCCTCAGAAGACATCTCATTTACAACTACAACCAATGTACATGTAAGTACTTGACTTGGAAGGTGTCTTTCCAGTATATGAAAAGATGGTCAAGTAAATGTATCATGGCACAAAAAAATGCATGTGGCTTTCCCTTGGTTGTATATTTCCATTTTCTACTATTAATAATGTTTTAACTAGGATGATTCTAAAACAATTTCTTCATTTTTAAAAAAAGACATCAAAAAGGCCATCTTTAAAGTTTCCTTTAGTGTTATAAGCATAATCTACATGGCTCAAAGGCCTCCAATATATAACAATTCTTTGAATTACCTGAAATGTGTGTATTTTGAAAATCCTCTAACAGTATAGGCAATTACATGTAACTATAGAAAACTTACTCTGACTTCCCCAGTATAGTCCCAGGTGATGCTGGTTGTGTTCATATTGTTGTTATCAGCCTTTCATATTAGTCTTGAGTGTTCATTTAGATGATCAATGCTAACTCACCCTAGTAGTAATAGATACATATTCCAAAAAAAAACAGTCTGAGCCATAGTTTATCAATTTGAAAGTCAAAATGAAACTGGAACATTAGAACTGAAGCTTATCAAACCCTTAACTGTAGCACTCAAGAGCACAGACAATCAGAGCCTGATTTTTATATCTGTGTTTAGGCAAATTCCCTTGGATAACAACTGATAGCAAATTCTATATCTCAGCATCAAGTGATATGCTGAATTGCAAGAGAAGATCAAAATAGAAAGTAAGCTTCCAATTCATTTTAAAATGTGAACTTCTCTTTGAAGATATGTGTTTGTTGTCGTTGTCCTCCACCATGAAGTCATTTGCCTTTTAATACCTGCAGCATGTAGGATAATGGATGGAGTTTGGGGGTACTTCTACTTCAAACAGATTAATCTTTAGACACTCCTCAAAAGCTTCTCTTTTAAAAGAGAATGATGTGTACATTGTGCCTGCCTTTTTCTATGTGTCCCTTGTAGTCTTCTGCAAGTGTTTGAATAGCACCACTCGTAAAAACTGATTGCATCTGTTCAGAAATCAAACGGTACCACATGCCATCCAAAGCATTACCTCTATAAACAGGAGATCACACATCCTTCCTTTACATTCAAAGCCACTGCCTTCAAGCATTCATGAGCAACCATTGAGTTTTCCAAATTCACTATTTCAGAACTCTTGTCCCATCCTACACATGGCTGCCAAATTAATATACTTAAAGTCCTCACTAATTCCCTCCCTTTCCTTTCCAAAAGCTCTCAGTAATTCCCTGAGCTCCTGACCACAACCTTACAAGATGGGTACAATGCCTTATTTAAATATCCTCTCTTCAGTTCTTAGTGCCTTCTGTGCCCCTGCACTTATAAGCAACTGATGTTGAACGGTGCTAAGAGCACACAATGCTGGGGTCGAAACTACTGAAGCTTTTACTTTGCCGGGAGCATAAACGCTCTGGGAGCTTTCCTTAGCCACTTTTTTTCCAAGAAAACTGAAACATTTGTGTTCTCCAAAGATGGCGTGTGTTTTTCCACTCCCCACATTCTTTCTTGAACAAGTATATTGTAATCAAACATATTGTTTCCAATCAAGCATTTCTAATTCTAATGTTAATCTTTAAACAAGAACTTTAAAAAGATTATCTTTGTTAAGAATTAAATTCCCTAAGAACAAGACTTTTCCTAATTTTCCTAAATAGAAAACTTTGCCTGCCAAGCAAACATAATCAGATATCATTTGCCCCATCAATGCCTGAGAATGGCACAATTATAGGACAGCCTTTAAGTCCCATTGCTCATGAATTTCTAAACGTTTAATAGGTCGCATATCTAGGATGCTAGGAATACTCAGGGCACATGAAAAATTACTAGTCAAAATTCTGCCTTAACCTCTTCCATAAAACATCAGATCACAAAATTCTGTGATTTAATTTTATAAATGAGGAAACAGAATCAAGACACAAGAAAACAAGACTCACCCAACTTGCTAGTGGTGCAGCTGAGAGCACCATGCACTTTTCCTGACTCTTGTTTGATGTCTCTTCAATTTCTTAAATGGACTGTGAACCCAGCCTGGCATGTGCCTTCCCCTGGTTTTATTTCACTGGTTCACACAGCTAATTTGGCTGTCATGTTTCCATACATGTGCCCTGCCCCCTTCTCCATCTCCCCTCTCTCCTTTTGACTTCACACTATACAGTGTTGAATGAGGAGCTTTACGACTATGCAGTTCTCAAAATCTGTCCTCTGAAAGTCACTGCTTGGTGGGATCCTGTGAAAAATCAAACTTGATTCACCTACAAGCCTCATTCGTGCTGAGAGGCAGAGCCCTGAGCACCTCCTCTGTCTTTGTCATTTGGAGTATACATTTTCATGTCAACTTGCCATAAATATGTCTTGTAAGAGTAATTTAACATCATGGGCCAGTTCTAGCATCCTAACAATATTAAATAGCCACTGGAAATAAAAGCTGTTCTTTTGAAAGAAAGCAAATGCTAAAAAGCAATGTAGAGTCTTAGCTATGGGGTTTCTATTACATACAACAAATCTGTGGCCTGGCTCCTGGACAAAGCCATGAAGTCCCTGACAACAGGGACTCACAGTGACATCCACTGGATAAACTGTCCTCTTTTTTGTATTTCATTTGCATGGGTGTTCTTAGTTTATAATTCTTCAGTTATACAACCGTATATAAGAAAGGTTTTCTCTCTCTCTCTCTCTCTTTCTCTCTCTCTCTGCCAACAGTTTGTCACACTTATACAAAATAAATTAATAGTTATCAGAAGCTCCCATCTCATTAGCTTTCTAACAAGGTAATTGTTTCTCAATCCCAAAGACCAGTATGCCATGGCGCATATGGACACAATGGTGTCCCCTTACTGATACTAATATCCTGTGATGTACTAGACAACAAGCAAAAGCACTACATCATTTTGGCAGCCGATGGCAGTCCATACTCATTTCATCTGTTCACTGAATGATCATAAGTGACCTCTATTGGTGACATGGCACTGAGATATAAAAGGAAGACAAAAAAATTGCGTACACCCCATTTTGAGATTCTGTTTCCTTTACTTTCACCAGTCTTTTCTTTGTGTTTGAAGAAGGGAGGGTGGGAGCAATGAACATCCAGCATTCTCTCTTACTTACAAGCATCTTTTCTCTCTCTTAGGTCAAAATAACACAGATGTCTTCTGTCTATCAGTCCATGGACTTCTCAAATGACTTGTGCAGTGGCCTCCTGCCTTTTATGAAGAGCAAGAAGCAAATGAATCTAAACACACACATGTTATAGACCTAACAGGAAGTTTCTACATAGACGCATGTGTGAAAACACACACACATGCAAGGGTGTGCATACACGCACACACACACACACACTCATACACACACGGTCACTATCACACACACATACATCATCTCCACTGGACCTCCTCCATCTGACTGAAACTGAGAAATATGCAGGACACTCCCATCCTGGATTTCCTTAAAGCGGGCTCCCTTTTCGCAGACCTTTGAAGGAAACATGTTGTGGGTGCCCTCTGCAAACTGTTCCTTACTCCTCTGCAGCCCAACCTGTTGGCTCTGTGAGGTGCCAAGTTAGCCCAGGCACACTAGTTTGGAACCCCATTTTCTGCACACCATACCTTACATCTTGATAGCACCACAGCTACTTAGGCAACATAATTGCAAAAAATAAATAAATAAACAACAACAACAACAAAAAACCAGACAGAACATGCTGTGATGACCTTGTACCAAATGCAAAATGGCAGGTTGTTTTTCCCTAAAGGCTATACTGTACTTAACTTGCCTTAACCCACCTGAGTTGTGTGCCCGAGACTCTCAGTGCAGACACCCCCCAGTCACTTCCTTTAGGCCAACACACTGCTATTAATTCCAAACAATTTGACTCTGTCTCATGTCAAGGAACAAGACGGAAACTCTCAGCAGCTCCAGCGTGTCTGTGTAAGAGCATGATGCTTTACCACTGAGCCTCTTCAGTGGCCACAAAGAGACAAGTCCCGGTGGCAACCACAAGCTGTCATCTTCATGTCTCTTAAACTTCTGATGTAGTTGGAGTGGAACCAAGTGAAATATATTAATCTACTAAACTCATTAATCTACTGAAAGTGGAGATGGCTTGACTGGTTGGTTGCATTTCTTGCACTCTGGGTGCTTTTCTAAGTATCTACAAATGGCTTTTCCTAACCCAGGAAAAAGCTGTGGATTTCTATGACAGAGGCCAACTGACTATGTATTAGCTATGTTTACTCTTTTATATCCAATTCAAATCCAAGACCCAATGTAGATGAACTTTCTTTTCTAACTTCGTCGTACAAGATTATTTTTGGGGTGGGCGGGGGGAGCAATAGTTAACTTAGTGAAATCTTTGAGATCTCTTTGTGGTATTTGGGGGATCTGTTGTGTGTTAGAGTGTATTTCAATCCTACTGTATTATTGTGACAGAAAAAAAACCTGTGCTGTTGACGTAGTTGGCAATGAGATGCCTTTGGGGATAATAGTAGGTCAATGTGTTTATGGGATATTCTGAACTCCTAGGAAATTTAGTTCTATATTTTCAAGCACTGTTTGGTTTTCATTAGTGGAAAACATAATTAGCTCAAGCTTATCAGCAACACAGATGAGTCATGTTTTTCTTGGATCCACTTGAGACACTAAAATCAAGTTTTCTTTAACACATCATCTTGACGTGCAGTGAAATTCAGACTGAGAAGTTAGACATAGGCATGGAGCAACTTTTTTTTGATACAGTTTTGTTTACTGGATTAACCCTTTTTGCATCTTAACCCATTTTCAGATCACCCTAAGACAGGCCAGTTGATATCTTTGCACAGATGTTTGTAAAACATGGCCACATACCCATTTAAAACTGATAAAGGAACTAAAAATGACCATTAGAATATAAACTACATGCTCAAAAAGTTTTCAACATTCACACTCAGAGTTTTCCTAGTGGCTTGTTTCTGTCAGTCCATACCTACATGCATAAAGTAAACAGTTGCATACATGTCAGTGAAACCTCACATGGTGTTTTTATAGTGATATGCATGTTTAATGTTTGAGGAAAACTATTCACCAATGTACTGTTCTTTTATTCCTAAAATTATAAATACTATACATGCCAGAAGCTATTCTAATGTGACTATTAAAATGAGGTTTTACTGCCTTGCTACTGTGATGGAATTCCACCTTGTAGTACCTTGTAGTACATGTGTAGGGAGGGAATCAAATAAGCCGTCATGTTTCATTTTAAGTTGCAGCCGACTCTCCACCAAATCACAATATCATCACCACCAAATATTTCAGAAACAGTTGTTGACTACTAAAGAGTAGTCAGAGGGCAAGCCTTTATAGGAGCAGGAAGCACAGTAGTGTGGTTAACTCTATCTGGGAAACATCCAAGTTGTACAGCTGTATCCTCCTCAAAATCTGGTGAAGAATGCTATTTTTCTAGGCTGAGCTTTTGTTATAAACCTAATATTCTGAAAGCAAGAGTTAAAAACCCTGATCTGTCTTTTTTTTTCTTCCTCTCCTGCATTTGTTAATTCTGAATGTATTTTTAACAGAGTGATTTTTTTGACTTACTAGTGTAATTTGCATTTTAAAAATAAATGGAAAAAAAAACAGTGAAGTTTCGGAGTCATCCCTGAAAGTCCCTGCTGCTTCTCATGGTGTGTTTGATTATGTCACTGACAGGGAAACACTACCTAATAGACTTGCATGATGATGCTACTAGTATTCTCTGCAGTCCAATGAGTGGTCAGCTATGAAAGAGAACTGCCAGCCTCAGGACCATTCTAGTTCAGTTATGGGTAGCACCCCCTCACATTCTTCCAACATTGGACTTCCACTTCAGACTACCTGCAAGAGACTTGCTGTCACCCGAGGAACATTTTTTTCTTTCCTCCGAGATTTTACATTTAAAGGGCACCAGATGAAAATATTTGGTTTGGGTCCAAAAAGATGGCTCAGTAATTAAGAACATTGGCCGCTCTTCCAGAGGACCTGAGGATGACTCTCATCACTCACTGGCAGCTCACAACCATTGTAACTACAATTCCAGGGAATTCATTACCCCTCTTCTGGCCTTCACAAGCACCAGACACAAAACTGATGCACAGACAGACAGGCAAATATGAAATAAGAATGTTTTTAAGCCACTTGATTAATCACAGGTGGGGAATTTCAATCTCATAAAAATATTTGTATGTGTGATTATGAGTGCCTATGTGAGAGGGATGTGTGTACATGTGTGTGTACATACGTGGAGGTCAAAGTATTAGTTCTCGGGAACTATCCACTTTGTTTAAGGAGTCAGGGTCTCTCACTTGGACCTGGGGCTCACAAATTAGGCTAGGCTGGCCTAGGCTGGCTGGCTAGTGAGTTCCAGAAATCCATCTGTCTCCACTCTATCAGCACTGAGTTTACAAGCAAGTTGGGATCCAACCCAATGTCCAGGCTTATGTGGCAACACTTTACCAGCTGAGCTATCTAGTATTTTATTTTCAAATGAAATAATTTAAAGTTTACCGATTGTCCCTTTGATAACATAAGCTGTTGTTGATGTTAGAATATAAGTGTTCACTTCAACAGGAGTTGAATGGAAACAGCTTGGGGTAGCGGAGACAAATGGCTGCCCCCTGGTTGCCCTTAACTGCAGCAGAGGCAGACCATAACTGGCCCCGACTGATCCAGCCTCCGGCTGCTGCTGTCTTACGCTCCTCCCACTGTACCCAGATGCATACCAGGTACCACAAACCAAAATCCCAACACAGCAAGAAGAAGCTGCAGAGTTGTGCTGTGTACCAAGAAGCTGGAGACGGATATTCAGTGCTTGATTTCTTGGCCACTTGGTGAGAGCCTTGAAAGTGATCAAGTGACTTTCTTAGCTCCGGTGGTGTTCGCCAAAGCCTCTGAGGATGACTTTCCTTCTTCACTAACTGTGAAGTCAAAGGTCCATAGCATCTCCACTGTACCAAAAGCCATGGGATGAATGGGTCAACCATTTATAGATATTCCCCAGGGAAAATGTTCTTCTGAAATTCTGACTTACTTAAGCTATAAGATTCTTAAACAACAAACAGGACTGTGGCTACATTTGGCAAGTATTTAAAACGTAACCATAGGTACAGTGAAGCATCTATTCAATATCCCACTGATGTGGTGAGTTTAATTGTGGCAGCATTTTAATTTGGAAATAAAACTATTTTTAAATAATTTGCATTTAGAATTAGCCTCTGAAACCCAGATCCATTCATTATAAAGACAAAAAAAAAAAGACAAACTTCTAAATAGTTAAAAAGTATCCAACATTACAATATACTCACTCTGGAAGTGTAAATAATGCCCCATTCCACAGAAAATTCTGCTCTGCATCTGGCCAGTGTACAAACCACAGACTCTATCAACTGACCCAGGATTGCATAAATTCAAATGCCTTGTGATAAGGAAGTCCCAAAGACAGTGTCAAAACATAAAATGCTTCTGAACTATTGTATTAGGTTTGAAGTAGTTTTGATATTAAAATATATTTCATTCTGTTACAATTCTTTCAAAAACCAATAACCCAAACCCAGATGTAATCATAGATATATGCTATGTCCTTCTGTATTACCCTACCAATTGTATGGTCAGGTTTCCTAGACTGCATTTAGATACACCTATGAATAAGTAAACTAAATTAAGATCACTTAAGCAATCCCCTCTTAAGCAGCGCATAACTTCCTCAAGGAAATAATTCCTCAAATGTTTTACTTGTCTTTGGAAAGTTCCAGAACTCAGGGGTCATACTCAGAAAGATTTGATGTCAAGATCCCTACACTGGAAAAAAAAAAGTTCCCATTATTTTCATCCCGGGCAAATCCTTGTTGTGGGCCTGTGGATGATTCTTTTCTCGTTTTATTATATGTGCCTTCTACCTGCTTCCAAGGATGAAAAGAAAAACTCCACGATCACTATGTGACAGCCAGTTAAAAACAAGTCAGTATACCGCAACAGACATTTTTGATGACTATGAAGGAAGATGATCACAACTATTTGTGTATTTCATGTCATTTAATTTAGTGAGAAACTGAACAAGATAATATGTGCTAGCGTCATATTTATCACTGAAATCTTCTAAAACTTCACTGGTTGTGACAGTAAGTAAAAACAATGAAAATGGAGGAAAGTTCATCCTAAAACGGGTAAAAGCAGAGATATTTTGGACTCTATGTAATTATAATAACATCATTTTTTCATTCATTAAAGATTAGAATTAATGAGCTCAGGGTTGGGATGGGCAATGAAAGGTGATATGTATATGATAATTTATATAATAAATTCAGAGAGGATGCCACATGTTGATTCTCTTACTCAGTATAAATCATTATCAAAATTAATGTAAATCTTCCCATAATGAAGTTTTCTTAATAATATGGCACCTTAATATTAAAATAAGTATTTTGTTGGCTGTTCAGTCTGCCCTCATGTGAATTTAAACTGTAGCTGCAATGGAATAAAACAGCTCCCAAAAAAAGATTACAAATTGATGCTGTCACTTCAAGCATGATGGATTGATTCAATTAATCAGTCAGTCTTTCCTAAGAGTCCTTCAGGGAGTTACTTAGCAGAGGCATACCCTGTTTATTCCCTTCCAGGCGACTGTCATTTTTCTTCATTATTCTCCTTGTTTTACTCATTATATCTTTGGGGGAATATGCTGATCTCCATGTGCAAAAGGTTTTGCACACAGCTGTCCAGACATAAATCTTCCAAGCTTCAAACTGGAGGCCACCAGAACACCTGACGCTCTTGTCATTTTTCTATCAGTATGACCAGTATGCTCGCACAATGAAGTCAAGCAAATAAATGGACACCGGCTTAACGAATGGCTAATCAATGAAAAAGGAACCAATTGAGGAAGGATTGTGAAAATATTTCATTCATAAAGACAGTTACAATGCCCACATGCTCCTCATATGTGGAACTGACCAACTTCCTCAACCCCAAAACAGATAGGCAGAGATAAAAGAGTTGGAAGTCTGGAATTCACGCTAAACACTCACAATAAGACAAAAAACAAAAACCAGTGATTATGTTGCTTTGGCTAATGACTGACAAATAAATATTCTTCAATATGAAATAGTTCTACATTTAATGATTCAAACCATTTGCCTTCTTAAGTGGTATAATGTGGGGCTGTGGCGGTAGATGAGCTGGTTAAAGTGCTTGCCTAGAATGCATGAGGCTCTGGGTTTCATTCCCGATATCATATAGAACTGGCTATAGTATAAACAACTAAAGTTATAGCATTCAGGGAGCAAAGGCAGGTGAATTTGAAGTTTATTGTCATCCTTGCATATATAGTAAGAATGGAACTAGCCCGGGATACATGGAACCCTATTTCGAAATAATTTTTTTAATGTGAAGAATCTACCACACACAAATGTATTGGAGTGCTTAACATTAATAATAATGATGATGATAATAGGAGTTGTCAAAGATGGACAGAAAAGAACCACATACTTTTAGTGGAAATCTAAATTAGTTAATAAAAATGGAACAATCGAATTTCTGGGTATATACACAATGCAAATGAAATAAATATGTGAAGAGATCTCTGTATTACATGCATTGTCACATCATTCATGATATGGAATCAAAATATGTTCACCAATTGATAAATGTACAAAGAAATCCAGTGGCTGATGGAAGCAGAGGCAGATACCCACAGCTACACACTGACCTCAACTCCTGGAACCTAGTTGCAGAGAGGAAGGAGTAATGAGCAAAGAGGTCAAGACCTGGCTGGTGAAACCCACAGAGACAGCTGACCTGAACAAGGGTGAACTCTTGGACTCCAGACTGATGGCTGAGAGGCCAGCATGGGACTGATCCAGACCCCCTGAATGTGGGTGTCAGTGAGGAGGCCTTGGCAATCTATGGGGCCTTGGGTAGTATATCAGTATTTATACCTGGATTACAAATGGATTTTGGGAACCAATTCCACATCAAAGGATGCTCTCTCAGCCTGGACACATGAGGGAGGGCCTAGGCCCTGCCCTGGATGAAATGACAGACTTTGGAGATTTCCCATGGAAGGCTTAACCTTCCTGGGGAGAGGAGTGGGAACTGGGTGGACACTGGGGAGATTGGTGGGGGGTGGGGTAGGAGGGGAGAGAGAGGGATCTGGGATTGACATGTGAAGCAAACTTGTTTCCAATTTAAATTTTTTTAAAAAGGTAAATAAAAAATGTACAAAGAAAATTGGCACATATTGTTAGTATTTAGGCATTTGTACTGCCTGCCTTTGGAGTCCTGACAGGACATGCCCTCAGCTGCTGCCACCTGTGCCTGTTCACTATGTTCCCTTTTAAAATGGCCCTGCCCACCTCCCATCCTTCTCTGTCTTTCTCCCCCTCTCTCTGTCTGTTTCTCCCTCTCTTTCTCTCTCTTTCTTCCTCTCTCCTCTCTCCCTCTGCTCCTGTCCCCAGAGGCCAGTCCCCTCCCTCCCCTTTCCCCTTTTTACAATCCTTTTCCCTAATTAAAAAAAAAAAAGCCTCTGCTTGAACTCCGTTGCATGGTGTCTTTCTCTCTGAAGCCACTTTTTAAAAATTACAACACATATAACAATGGAATAACATTC